AATCCAAGTTTATATCTATAAATGGTCATTCTTATCTCTACACCCCAGAGTGTGGAAGAACAGCAGGAGGAAGGTCCATCAACTTCTGGTGCACAGATGGACACAGTTCAGTGATTTACAGTAAATGCCAGTTTCATTCTGAATTGTAGACTACATTCATGATGTGACTCTAATCTAATGTATTTTCAGTTGCCAGTTAAGGAGTGATATAGACTTCTTCTTAAAAAGATACAAAAAAAACAGCAAAGAACTTGTATACTTGGACCGCCAGATCCAAAAGGCAGATCTGGAAATCGACATTCTGAAACTAAAGCTAGAGGTGAGTGTATGGTCACAGGTGAATTCTAGGAAGTATTGAAACTATTTTAAAATCTTTTTCTTCTTTTTTAGCAAATGAAGAACACCATATAAATTGCTGTGATTTTTTTTATTAATTAGTTTATTTTGTGGTTGCATTTGTATGAAATAAAGAACACCATAAATTGCTGTGATTTTGTGTTTATTCATTTTTTTGTGGTGGTGGTGGATATCATGTGTATTAATCTGAGAAGACATTGCAGCATATCATATCCCGGACTACCCTTCCATCCTGGAAATCTTCAGGGTTGATGGGCTATTCCTCAGGGTCTTGTAATTGTAGGGCAGGGTGTTGCTCCCCTCTAATTATGGCAATATTATGGAGAACAACACAAGCCACAATAATGTCGCAGGCCCTTTCAGGGGTTACCCTGAGGTGACGTAGGCACTGGAAACGTGCTTTCAACAGGCCTATGGTCATCTCCACCCGGGCTCTCGTCCTGCAGTGTGCCACATTGAAGCGCTGCTGTGGGCCTGGTTCAGGTTCTGGGTAAGGGGCCATAAGATTTGGTCGGCATGGGTAACCCCTATCTCCCAGCAGAAAGCCATCAATCTCTCCTGTAAGAAAGTTCACATTGCTTAAGAGCTGCATTCCCCTGTAAGTGTTAGTGCATACATTGAAATATGTGTAAAGGATATACATTTACTTACCCCTTTCCAGTCTGTTGCTCAGGGTTGACTCCCGATAGATTCTTGAGTCATGAACAGAGCCAGGCCACTTGGCCTCCACATTTGTAATTATATGTGCAGCATCACATATGATCTTGACAGTGCAAAGAATGAGAGATGTTACAGTATTGTGGTGTAGTCTTTGGCCATTAGAAACAGTAGGCTGTCAGTGTACCTGCACATTAATACTGTGGATGGATCTCCTGTTCACATAGTCCACTTCATTTTCAGAAGGCGCAATGATCGGAATATGTGTGCCATCAATGCATCCAACCACATTCGGAAATCCTAAAGGGAATTCTAATTATTAGGTTACTTCCAGGGGTCACAGCAAGATATTCTTAACTGAATGTAATTTATCAGGTTAGCCTCATTTAAACCGATTTTTACGCCACTGACCTGCAATCCTGTGAAACTCCTCTTTGATGACTCTCACTGGTTTGTGCCCAGGAAACAATACAAAAATTCTCAGAAAGCGCTTAAGAGCGAGGCACACTTTCCTTACCGCTCTGCAAACAGTAGCCTTACAAATATGTTCAGCATCCCCGATGTTATAAAGAAAACTTCCATTTGCAAAGAAACGTAAGGCAAGGCAAAGAATCTGCTCGGATGTAAGAGCACGGCCACGATGGTTGATGTTTCTGATGTAAGGATGGATGAGATTATGGATGTATCTTATTGACTGTAAAGAAAAACAGTAACGCTCAAATAAAAATGGATAGGGATATGACAAAAAATCCACTCTGGGCCTCAAAATCCTTTCCCGACGTAAATGTAACTCCCTACGAAGTAATACAGCCTCTTCGTCAACAGGATCATCCATAAAAGGACATGCCATTTCATTCCCTTTGATGCGCTCTACGTGACTGAAATGTGTGCAATGAATACTGTATGTCCCCAAAGAATCAATGAGGTGTTTAAACACCACTTCCTCTTTAAAAAAGGGGACGAGACCAAAATAAACTCTGGATTTTCTGAAGAAAACCTGCTCCCGACCAGGTTAGGTTCACAGAGTAAATTGCCATGGTAACTGACTCTGAGTATAAGTTACCTCTCTTTCAGAAACGGGCTTGACTTACTCTGCTTTCTCAGGTTTAACTTACCTCCCTTTCTGAAACAGAAAACCCAGAGTTTCCCTCATTTCAGGGTTAACAAACTCAGAGTTTTCACTTAACCTCCTTTCTGAAACAGGCCCCTGGAGGTAAAGATTGACATTACTTTCACAAAGCAGGGCATTGATCCAAAGTATTGCCCGACCTCTGAAGAGACTCTTCCTATAATTCCAAGATTTTTTTTTGAGACATCCATAGTCTGGACTTAAAGCCAATAGCAATTCCAAGATATTTTGTGGGGATATATTAATTGTTGATACACAACCAGATTAGTATGAACAAATAATACCCTCCCAAAAAAATCTAATTACTAATGTTTCTTCTTATCCCTAATAAATTGAATCATTAATTATTAATTGCATTTTCTTTTATTTTGTTTTACTCAAGGTATAGTCTGTCTTTGTCCGAAATTAGTTTTATGATCTGAATACTAAGTTTTAAAAAAAAGCAAAAACTGAAGAAATCTTTAAAGGGGTGATTGCTTTTTTGTTTCTTTTTATTTTAGCACAGTTCATAATTTTTTGTAGTATCAACAGGCAGGTTAAACTATTAGGGTTGAGGTAACTTCATGTAAAAGCTGTAATTGGTTATATAATAAGGAACATTTGACTGCCTTTGTAGGCACCTCTGATTTTGTTTTTATCTGATGTTTTTCTTATATTTAAATTGTAGGACTTCACTTCACTTTGAAATATTTAGCTGCTTATACACTGCTTGTAACTAATTACTCTCATCTCTGAGGTAGTTATCAGACTTTTCGTGTTTTCTTTATTCCCACAGTATTTTACTTGTTTGTGATCATTAATTATTGCTAATGACCTCCATTAGGTCTTAACTGGGTTTTTCTATGTCTATGCATGTTGATTGTACCAGATGAGAGCGAGACGTAGCTAATTAAGAAAACACAATGCTTAATAGAAGATGGAATTAACGTCCTTGAAGTCAAGAGATATTGATGGGTCGCACTGAGGCCGTATAAATAGTTCAGCATGCTTGGTTGATGAGTTCATTAATGGTAATCAGTTTCCACTGGCTTCTGACACATGTATCAAAATGAAACATAAGTACCGTGCCCTATAGTGTTGTTTAAATTCTCACTCAAATGCATCAACTGATTAATTCAAATAACTGTGTTAATTTGTGCCACTGATTATCTGCCCTGCTTTGATGCAGCACCTCATTAGATTTGAATAGCCAGAAGGCGTTCATAACAGCTTCACTAAGAAATTGAATATTCCAAACAATTAATGATGATATTCAGAGTCATTACGTGCAGTCATAGATTTACTATACATTTAAAAAAAATCTACGGTGATATTTAAAGCCTATGACATTAGTGCAACCCTTTAAAACCACCTGAGGTAATAAAGTGTGTTTGACTTATTAATCCTACTAATGTGGGAATGATGAATGGCTGTGGAGAAAGTATGAAAACACAAATTCCTTTTTAAATTTTTGAATTTCATCAATGCTGCAGGAGCAGCTCTTCAATGGGATTCATTAGTTTTCTGTGATTGCTCTGCTGTTCCATGGAGATACCCCCTCACACCTTCAACCTCAAAGACACACTGCAAATACATCAATCTTAGTAAGTCATTTGTTTCTCAAAATGTGATTTTTTTTTTTCTTCTTGAATTGAGAATGAAATTGAGACACTTTTCCAATGGAATAAGATAATTTACCTTTAAAATTAGAAGAAAACAACTGCAGTCTCTTATTTCAGGTGCATAATATCAACTTATCTTATTTTAATGGACCAAATTCTCATTCCATAGGCAGATCATCATTTGCCTACTCAAAGAGTAATTATACTTATTTTAAGAGATTTTTTTTTACAAATTTTTAGATAGTTTTTTCAGTGTACCAGCATCAATGCCCAATAATTTAAGAAAATGCAAAACTGTTTGAAAGAAAAAGCAGATAGTTTATGATCAAACAGAACAAAACAACACCAAAAGGGAAAATAAACTACTTTGTTCACTATGCAGAAACAGCTGTGTGAATTTTATTTAGGAAAACCTTGTCGTTCCTTGTGAAAAATAACTTAACAATATAAAAAATAAAAGCCATAAATAAATCTTTTTCCAAATCTAACTATTTTAATTTTAGTTTTATTACAGGTTAAATATAAAACATCCGATGCTCACACATATTGTGTTGTTTACCAAAAACATGACATCGGCATTACACAAAATTGTAGTAACAGACACAACATGGCTACTGGCTAAGACAGAAAACAATAAAGACTCGGCCTTTTGGCCGCTATGGCAAAAGGAGCATTTAGAGGCTTTCAAACATAGAACAATGTACCTAATGTCAAATGGTGGCACAGCATTATGCTTAGTAGCTCTTTTTTATTTTATTTATTTTTTCAATCCGTATATCTGTGTACTGGACAAAGAATAAGAAGTAGTTTAGGTAAAGGACTCACTAAACAAATCTGAACTTCAGCTCAAATCATCAGCAAGTATATTGAAACTTTAGCACATTTGATTGTTCAAACATCCAAAAAGAAAAGTTGAGACGTAGGCAACATTATATATTTTTTTTAATAAAAGTGCAAATCCTTTTGTGTGATGCGCTTCCATCATGTGTTTCTTCAAATATATGAAATCCATGTATAAAATGTTTGTTTTGTCTTAACTTTCGATAAATTGTAACATTGTAAACAGGATTATAATTACTCTCCAGTTTCTAAGCCTATAGTTTTAGTCATCGAAAAACTAAACTGCTTAGTGAGCTGTCTTTGACAAAGCAATACCGTTACCATGTATTTAATGACTTGGTCTTTAATTGAACATGGTGGGGCATTTTCAAATCCCTTGGGAGGTTAGAAGGAGCTATAAAATGTAAACGAGTGAAACTTCCTTTGCAAGTATAATTTGCTCTGATTAATTCACCTAATAGTATACATATAAACAGAGGCATAAAAATGCTGGTTAATGTTTATATTTTTTCATTGCTGAGTTCCTATAATGCTGCTTTCAGAGGAGAAGGGTTATTTTTAATAGAAGCAAACCAATCTGTGAATAATTATTATTATTGTCTGAAATAAATAATAAATAAAAAATAAATATTCATTCATTAATTCATTCAATAATGAGCTGAAATTTACCCTCAATGTATCACAGGTAAAGGGGAGACAGGTATGATGTGACAGAGTGATCACACTTGAGCTGGCAGGTCTAGAACGTCAGCTTGCATGAGCTAAACCCAATGCAGTCAGTGAATAAAACAACACAAGTGGCTTCTATACCCTATTGGTGCTTTTAATTTACACTCTCTGCCTAGCACTTGGTTTTTCAGTCGTCTGTTTTGCTGTCTGAGAGGAATCTCATCACAGGCTCCTCTGTTGTCTGTCCCCTGTCCTTGTGTTAGTAGGCAGAGCAGCTGAGAGAGGCTTTATCAGCAGACAAGAAAGCCTTTTAATCACCAACGCAGTCTCAGAATGCAGCCATGGAAGCAGGTTCATACCATTGAGAATGCTCGGATCCTCATCTGAAATTCGCAAAGGTAGAAAATCTGGTTCACAGCTTTTGGGCTGAACCATGGAAATACAATCTATTATCTTTTAGAAGTTGGAGCAAGCATTATTTATCATAACACACAACCCCTTCAGAGATCAGTTGTTCTGCTTTGCTGAGTTGTGCAATGTTATTGTATAATTTATCACCATTATCTGTTCAAAAGAATGTGGCTGTGTCAGAGCTTAAAAGAAAAAGAGATCAAGATTCTAAGTAGAGGTCAATATTCATATTTTTACACTTTCATTTTCCTTACCAATTCTTAGTCTAGTGGCAACACTGGTTTCATGTTTGGCTGGCATTCACTGTTTTTTTTCTACAGTTTTGGGCACAATGTTTTACAGTGACATGGCAGCTTCTTTGTGGGTGGGACAGCCTAAATTCATTCATCAACCTCGGTCTCTGTGTTCGATGACTGGCTGGCATTTAGTGGTGAGGCTGTGATTCCTCATTGGCATTATTTACAGCAGCATGAGGTTCACAGATACATACATTGCACACACCTGAGAAAAGGTCATGCTGTAAGATGGATAACAGAAGCAGATTACCTCTGCACCCCAATACTGGTCTTTGTCACAACATAAGATCTGTGAGCTCTTTCTAAAGAAGCAAACTTTTACTCTTTGAATCTGATTTGGTGTTTTATTTGCCCTCTTAAAATCAGGAGACCACAGTTGGAAGTAGATGAAATTATTCATTCCCAATATAACATTTTTGATAATGCATTCAACATCAGGGTATAACATTGATTGTAGGTCTGGAATCCACAGGATTATATTAGGGGATGTAAATGTAGTCC